GGAAAGACTTACATGACCTAACTGCGCGTGTATAATGAGTCGAGAATCTGTGGTGGAGCATGTGGTAGATGACGTAGAGAAGTAGTAGAGGCCTTGAGACTCACATCCGACGTCAATCTCTGTCCCGAACTTCGATTCTGCAGAATAACATCACTGTTAGTAAAAGTGATAGAACAATTAAGGGAATGAGTTAAACGACTGACTGACAGTAGATTAAATGAGCAATTAGGTACATATAAGATAGAAGTAACAAAGAGTGATGGTAGAATTTGAACAGTACCGATCCCTTGAGATCAGGTTTGAGAACCATTTGCGACAGTTATCTTGGTATGAAACCAGAGGTAGAAAGGGAAGAGAAATTTTTTTTATTACCGGTAACATGATCAGACGCACCAGAGTCGAGGAACCAAGGACCGCGAGGAGATAATTGAGAGACGCAAACAGATGAATTACCAATGTGTGCAATATAAGCCGTGGAACCAGAGGTCTGGTTAGTCAGACACCACCTGAGAAAATCCTTGTAGCTTGGCATAGGGTTCTAAAGAGAAGGTGAAGTCTGCATAGTGTCTGGTTATCAATTTGAGCTGCATTTACCTGCCGTGAGGGTTTGCCATGCACCTTCCAGCAACGATCGATAGTATGTCCAAGCCGGTTACAATGGTCATACTTAGGACGAGGTTTGGAGTTGGATGACCCTCCTCGAATGAGATTCTGATTGTTGCCAAGAGATGCAAGAGCAGCAGTGTCACTTGGTGTTGGAATAGCAATAGATGGAGGAGAAACCGAGTCAAACGCATGAGGTGTAGCCAAGCGCAACAATTATTCACTAGCTGTATCATAGTTAGGAACAGTAGTAGTACCTGATAAAATCTGGTTACGAACGAATTTGAGTTCTGATGGTAGTCCTTTAAGTGTCATGACCATGAAATATTTACTCTGTTGTTTGACATGAGCTATTGCATCTTTTGCGTAAAGGCATGAGGGTTGCATAACTTGCTTTCAAGGCATCAAGCTTACTCAGATAAGTTTACACATCTATATTTTCCAACTTCAGTGTGTTGAGTTTGTGGATGACACTGTATAGAGAATGAACGTCGTTGGAAAAGACTTTCTTGGCCTTTTGCCACACCTCATAACAAGTGGAGAATGCTTGGTACTGCGCTTGGAGGTTAGGTGTTATGGAAAACCACAACACAGTACACAAAGAGGCATCCGTTTTCTTCCATTTAACGAGTTTGACGGCTGCAACGTCACTCAATTGGGTGGTTAGATGCTCTTCATATCCTTAACCGTGAAACCACATCTCGACAGCACGAACCCATATGTTATAGTTGGCTGATCCGGTTAGTTTTTTCACATGGGATAAGCGGAACTTTAGTAAACGAGACAAAATCAACATCTCCAATGGCTTAAAACACAACAATGAGGCTATTTGAACAAGAGTACGACTTTCTGTGAGTCGAAAACGGAAACCGATGGCGGATCTGGAATTGGAGGAGGAAGGCGATTTTCCAGTAAATTTTTTTTCGTGAACAGTAGCGGCGACAATGAACAGTGGCGGGGCAATGAACAATGGCGGAGGCAGTGAACAGTGCGGCGGCGGTGAACAGTAGCCCCTTGAAATTTTTTTTCCCCGTGAGCGGTGCGGAGGCAGAGGTCGCTGGAAAAATAAAAAGGTGAGGCAAACCGGAATGATGACACGGTTTGCAGAAGAAAATTTCTCACCGGAAGACAGTGGGTCAACCGGGTAAAGCACAACGAAGAATTGTCTCTTAGAAGACTCTGATACCATATTGAATTAGGAGAGACTAAGAGACATTTAGGTTAAACCGTGTGTTTTGAAAGCACTACGAAGACTTTATTATATATATAGAGAGATTACAACTAATTACACGATATAATCGATGTGGGACTATTCTACATACAAATATTCTTAACATTATATATTTACAAATATCAACCGTCTTCAACCCTTTGTAGCTGAGATGACAACTAAATCTTCGGTGCCAAAGGTGAGCCACATCTCCGGTGTCATCCGTCGTTGCTTGGAAAACTCTTCCTTGCTTTCACTCTTGATTGATTTAGTGCTCGAAAACAACACAAACATTCGATTTGCTGCCATGTTAGTTTGGAATACCAAACCCTTTGTGCGGTGATAAATCCGACACTCATTTGACTATATTAGTACAACCAAACCCCTTTCTTGTAGCTGCCCAACACTGAGAAGATTATTCTTCAAACCGAGAACATAATAGACATCCCGTACAAGGTGGTTTACTCATTTTATTGTCAATGAACACTTCCTTTTCCAGAAACGTTCATGCTTGCATAATTTCCCAAACTAACCACCTTGTTGAACCCTTCTTCTAACTCACAAAAGAGTGAAGAATTACCACACATGTGATTGCTGAAGCCTTCACAATCGACTCGGGAGACTCAATTGTAGGACCAGTAATAGGACATAAGAGAGGAGTCACGGGCAACTCAGGTAGGACCAAAAACTCGGAATCAAATTCTACATTCTGAATGCTCTCCCCCTGAAGCTGAGGACGAGTGAAGTAGGCCAAATTCTCATGAAACGTGACATCTTTAGAGACAAAGTACTTACGACTAGAAGGATGATAGCATTTATATCCTCTCTTGTTTGGGGGATAGCCAACAAAGATGCATCTGACTGCACGGGGGTCAACCTTACTTCGGTGTTGTTTATGGATATGGACAAAGGCAACACAACCAAATACTCGAGACTCGAGCTTCTGCAAAATAGGAACAAAAGGAAACCGTGAAGTCATAAACTGAACAAGACCAACATTACCTAACATGCGAGATGGAACCCGATTAATCAAGTAGGCAGCAGTCAGAACGGCTTCCCCCGAATATGAGTTCGGAACTGCCATTTGGAAGAGGATGGCTCGAGCTACTTCAAGTAAATGACGATTCTTTCTTTCTGTAACACCATTTTGTTGTGGGGTGTCGACACATGTAAATTCTTGAAGTATTCCCTGTTGACTAGTAAAATTTGAAAATATGTGATTGACATACTCTTTGCCATTGTCAGAGCAGATTCTTTTAATCCTCTTGCCAAATTGTGTTTGTACCATGTTATAAAAACTAATAAATATTCCTGGTACTTCCGACTTATCCTTCATCAAGAAAATCCAAGTTGCTGGAGTACAATCATCAATAAATGACACAAACTATTTAGCACCCAAAATATTAGAAATAAGTGCAGGTCCCCAAACATCAGAATATATGAGATCAAAACGTTCAACACTTCTATTGAACTAGGAGTAAAAGAGACACGATGATGTTTAGCTAACTCACAAATGTCACATTTAAAAGACTCAACTGAATGATGTAAAAACAAAGGAAATATAGACTTAACTAAAGAGAAGAAGACATGTAAGACTCCGTCTGCAAGGAGGAAGCCAACACCTTCAAACAATTTGGTTCATTAGATAGGTAGTACAACTCCCTTTTCCTTAGCAACTCCAATTGTCTTCCCCGTGGTAAGATCCTGAAAAACACAATAAGTGAAAAATATTACTTTACAATTCTAATCACTGGTGAGTTTACGAGCATATATTAGGTTGTGAGAGAGTGTGGAAACATGTAGCACGTCTTGTAATTGAAGTGAAGGTTGCAAGTTAACACTCCCAGAGCCATCAATACGGGCATAAGAACTATTAGCAATCGTAACATAACGATTCTTCTCAGAGGAGGTGTAAGAGGAAATCAAACTAGAATTGAATGTCATATGGTCGGTGGCACTAGAGTCCAAAATCCAAGCATTCTTAGAGATTTTACCGCAAACACTAAAGGATTGAGAACATACACTCAAGCCGGTCGTCGGTAGAGAACAACTTCTAGAAGGCTTACTAAGAGAGTCAAGTATAGCCTTTAAACGATTCACCTCATCCTCGGTGAATGATAAAGAGTAATCACCAGAAATTTTTTCAGCCATTTGTAGCAAGCTAAAAAAATAACAGCAATAAGACGAGCCAAACAACAGCAAAAAAAGGATGAAATAAAGGTGTTTCTTTCTGAATAGAAAAAAAAACCCTGCAATGTAGGGTAACAAGGCTGCAATGAAGGCAACAAAATTGTCACAATGAAGGTGACTTAGGGTTTACCGTAATGAAGACGACTGAGGTTTATGGGAAAGCAAGTCTCTCAAGATCAAGAGCTCTGGTACCATGTAGATAATTGAATATTTGGTGAAATGCTTGAGTTACAAAGCACTCAAGTGATTTGATTACATACACACAAGAGAGTAATTACAGGATAAGATTGAAGCTATTTTCTAGGTACATGTATGTAATTTACAAGACCTAGATTCCTAGATACATGAACAGACTCATAAATACTATTAAGATGTGGTTGGGCCTAATTCAACCCTACAAAACCGGCTTGTAGGGTGAGGATTGCCCCCACTTATAAACACATGTTCAGGCCATATATTGTCCGATGTGGGACTCTTAACACACCCCCTCACGCCCAGGACTAGACAACTGGAGCGTGGAAATAAATGGTGGATGGCCCACTGGATCTTAAACGAGGCTCTGATACCATATTAAGATGTGGTTGGGCCTAATTCAACCCTACAAAACCGGCTTGTAGGGTGAGGATTGCCCCACTTATAAACACATTTTCAGGCCATATATTGTCCGATGTGGGACTCTTAACAAATACAAAATTATAATTCCAATAATTCCAATAATTCCAACATGTACGTTATTCATCTTAGCTCATAAGTAATACTCACATTTATGCTTCTTAATTGCTTAATTGCTATCATAAACTTAATTACTTTATTTTTTTAGACCATCCTGTATGAGATGAAGGGTTTTCTTTCAGGCACTTAAAGATGATATTTATGTTTTCACTTAAAGAAATATTGCTTGTGATTAAATATTTATGTGTTTTAGCTAGCCATTCATGTCTCTGGCCTAACTTAATGCAATGCTGACTTTCTAAGAATGTATTTGTTGTTTTAATAGGTATCAAAGAAAAGCAGCAAAGTTAACCCAAGATTTCTCTGCTTGTGCTAATGACGTATACATACGTACTGGTAGATACTGTTTCTAAAAATATTGACTATATTTTTATTTTAACTATTATTAGATTTTCTATTACAGGTAGCTCAGGAAACACTTTCTTTGATAAGAACTGTCCGAGTGTATGGAACCAGAAAAGAAGAATTTGAAAGGTGATTTATTTTGTTTATTCTCTTATTATATATTCTTACCGAAAATCTATATTTTGGCATGTAATTTGATAACACTTCGTTACTTCCTTGTATTAGTAAGCTTTTAAGCTATACTGTTCTCTCCAATTCTGTCCTCGAATCGATACTTTGTGCATCATTCGCAAGTTCATTTTACTCCACTATACAGTTATATGATAACGGTTGATAAGGATAATTTTCTAATCTGTTAGTCCCTTTTATTTATTTAAATGTCCAAAAAATATCAAACCAAAGTCTTAATTGAAAAATTACTGAGTTATTTTGGAAGTTTTTCCCATTTTTCAGGGCAAACTACATAATCTATATGCATATGTAATTTTTTTTGTTTGTTAAATCAAAACTAGCATTTATATGCAATGATGTTAGCAAAAATTTTTTTTTTTGAAATCAACTACCATTCCGAGTGTGATAATAGATTGTATACATAAGTTGATCCTAAATTTTGGCAAATGATTATGTCAGTGATACTCTTAATTCCTATACATCTAATCAGGTACAACCAGTGGCTACAGAAATTAGCATTTATTAGCGGTCGAGACAGCTTGGGTAATGGTTTATGGAACCTGAGCTTTAACACCCTTTACCGGTCAACTCAGGTCTGGCTCTATGAGTAAATTATTTTCTCATATTATAAACATTGAAAGGTACACAAAATATATACACCATTTCTATACTAATTAAGGAAATAGTAATTATGTTGTTCTTATTACATATCTCTAGAATTAAAGAGATTTTCCTACTCATCAATCCGTACATATATAAGAAACAACAATAGAAACAATTAAGTCTTATTCCACTAGGTGGGGTCGACTACATGGATCAACTCCCTAAATTAAGAAAGATATTACAAACTCCCTACATCAATTTCTTTAAATACTATAAGATTTCCCTCACTTCCCCTCAAGCTTGTGAATAAGTGTTATCCATTCCCAACTTGGACAATGTCAAGAGTCTCACAATATATAACCTGAAGATATATTTATAAGTGGAGACAATCCTCACCTTAGAAGCTTGAAAGATAAAGATAATATTATTGAAACTCTTATTCTTTCAAATCTTGACCAAATTCCCATGAGCTCAATTCAAGAAGAGAGGTGGATGGAAATGAATTTGAAAATGAGGCATTCGTCGAAGATGGATCTGGGCGTGAACCTGGGGATGAAGTAGTGGCTGAAAATAGACTTGAGAATGAAGCAGTGGTTGAAAACAGAGCTAGAAATGATAAGTTTGGAAAGATAAAGATAATACTCTTGAACTCTTATTCTTCCAAATCTTGACCAAATTCCCACATCAGACTATATTAGGCATGAAAATATATTTATAAGTGGGGGTAATCCTCAACTTAGAAATCGGTTTTGTAAGATTAAGTTATGTTCAATCACACATTAAGACTTAGTACATAAGTCGTTAAGTTGACTCATTTGTACCAACTTCTTCATTTTTGTACCATTTCTAATATCTTCAATACAATTGATTCTTAAGCCTTTCTATCTTATTTCCATGGATGTTCTGTTTCGTAGTAAGTACATTTGAAACTAACGTAACGAGATAAGGGCTTAAATGCTAACTAGGAGTGTATTTGTTACTTTAAAAGAACTTGTAATATATCTTAATTTAAAGGTTTGTTCATCAAGATTAGTTCAAGTTTGTGTTATTGGTTATCATTATTAGACCAATTGTCCTATTGATGATTCTTTCGCAAGTCTTCTACAATTGAATAATTAATTTTGTAAATTTGAATTACGATATGTTGAATTAGGAGAGATTAAGAGACATTTAGGTTAAACTGTGTGTTTTGAAAACACTATGGAGACTTTATTATATATAGAGAGATTACAACTAATTACATGATATAATCGATGTGGGACTATTCTACATACAAATATTGTTAACACTATATTTACAAATATCAACACTTCCCCTCAAGCTGGAGCATATAAGTCAAATGCACCAAGCTTGCCACATATATAATTAGTTTTGGGACTTCGCAGAAATTTTGTAAACACATCTGCCAATTGATCATTAGAGTTGACAAAACTTGTGACGATGTCGACGGATTCAATCTTCTCTCTGACAAAGTGACACTCTATCTCAATATGTTTGGTCCTCTCATGGAAGACTGAATTTGAAGCAATGTGCAATGCAACTTGATTATCACATACAAGTGTCATTAGTCTTTCTTCTTTAGTTTGAAGTTCTTTGAGCAACTGTTTTAACCAAATGAGTTCACATGTTGCCATTGCCATGGTCCTATACTCTGCCTCGACGCTTGATCTTACAACTACATTTTGTTTCTTACTTTTTCAGGATATAAGGTTTCCTCCAACAAGTAAACAATACCTAGAGGTGGATCGTCTATCAATTGGTGGCCCTGCCCAATCAGCATCGGAGTATCCAACTATCTGAGTATGTTCTTTATCTTCATACACTAAACCTTTTTCTGGAGCACATTTGATGTATCTCAGAATCCGAATAACTGCATCCATGTGTTCCTGACAAGGGGAATTTAAGAACTGACTTACCACACTGACTCCAAAAGAAATGTCTGAACGAGTGACTATGAGATAGTTCAACTTTTCAACCAATCTCCTATACCTTCCCGAGTCTGATAGAGACTTTCCCTGATTGAGTAGTAGTTTGACACTTGGATCCATAGGAGTATCAGCTGGTTTAGCGTTCAACAAACCTGTTTCTTCCAAAATATTCATAGCATATTTCTGCTGAGAAATCACCAAACCATCTTTAGATTGGGCTACCTCAATACCCAAGAAATACCAGAGTTTACCAAGATCTTTTGTCTGAAATTGATTCGAAAGATGTTTTAACTGGAGTATTCCCTGTTCATCACTACCAGTTATGACAATATCATCTACATACACAATAAGACAAATACACCCTTGGGCTGAGTGATGATAAAAGACTGAATGGTCAGCTTCACTACAGACCATACCAAATTGTTGTACTACAATGCTGAATCTGCCAAACCAAGCTCTCGGAGATTGCTTAAAACCATAAAGAGATCTGTGTAGCCTACAAATCATATTTGATGACTCTCCCTGAGCAACAAATCCAGGTGGTTGCTTCATATATACTTCCTCTTCAAGATCACCATGTAAAAATGTATTTTTGATGTCAAGTTGATGAAGAGGCCAATGTCGAATGGCTGCAATGGCTAGAAGAAGTCTAACAGATGCCATCTAGGCTACAGGCGAGAATGTATCACTATAATCCAATCCAAAAATCTGAGTGTATCCTTTGGCTACCAAGCGAACTTTAAATCGATCAATCTTACCATCTGGATCAACTTTCACTGTATAAAGCCAATGACAACCTACTAAAGATTTCCCAGGGGGTAGAGGAACCAATTCCCACTGATTTGAAGAGCACACATTTCATCGATCATTGCTTGCCTCCACTCAGGATGAGATAATGCTTCACCTGGAGTGTTAGGAAGAAGACAAAGAAGACAAACAAGTATACTGCAAAGGGGAAAGACGATGATAGCATAAATCAATATAATGTGGAGAAGGATTTCGTGTTTGACGTATACCTTTTCGAAGGGTAATTGGAAAATCGGACTCAGGTTGCAGGATCGGATCCGGTGATGGCGAGAGCGTCGGGGAGAGTCTGTAATGACCTCAGGGACATGTACAACCCCAGGGACAGGTACCCTCAGGGACAGGTACGGCAAATGTTGGTTGACGACGCTGATATGTTTGAAGTGGACGAGAAGTGGGGGGTCAACTGTAGGGGTTTCACGTGGGATAGGTTCCCTAGAATGATGGGGGATAGTGACATATGGGACTTCCAGAAGAGGCTCCTGAAGGGGCTCCGGAGTTACTTGGCTGGACTCGAAATATGGAACATACTCGAAGAAGATGACATCGACCTACATGATGTATCGTTGTAGGGTATGTGAATAGCAACGATAACCTTTTTGGGATCGATGATAATCAAGAAAAACACACTTTAGTGATCGAGCTGATAGTTTATCAAGACCAGAAGAGAGATTATGTACAAAACATGTAGAATCGAAGACTCGAGGAGGAATTGGGTGAAGGGGGGAATGGGGAAAAAGGATTGAATGAGGGATTTTATTGTTAAGGACAGATGATGACATGCGATTTATAAGGTAACATGACGTTAGCACAACGTCTCTCTAAAACCGAAGTGGAACATTACCATGGAGAAGTAAGGTCCGAGTGGTTTCTACAAGATGTTGATTTTTGTGTTCGGCTACTCCGTTTTGTTGAGGTGTATAAGGGCAAGATGTTTGGTGGAGAATACCATTACTGGACATAAAAGTTTGAAATTGTTGGGATAAATATTCACGAGCATTATCACTTCTTAAGGTACGAATGGACACACCAAACTGAGTTTTTATTTCTTTATAAAATTTTTCAAAAATAGACAATAATTCTGATATATTTTTCATTAAATATAACCACGTGTAACGTGAAAAATCATCAATAAGCGTGACAAAATACCTAGACTCAAGAGTAGAGATAATACGTGAGGGATCCCAAACATCGGAGTGAACTAAAGCAAAAGGCGAAGAAGCTCGTTTATTGATTCGATTGAGAAATTGATTACGAGTGTGTTTCCCTAACTGACACGACTCACAATGTAAATTAGATACTTTCGATAAATTTGGCATCAACTTCTGTAATTTGGGAAGACTAGGATGACCTAATTGAGTATGGATTGTGAGTGGAGAATCTTTGGCTGAGCATGTCTGAGATGACACTGAGAGGTAATAAAGACCTTGAGACTCACATCCGATGCCAATTGTCCGTCCCGAACTCCGATTTTGCAAAGTGACATTACTATTAGTGAATGTGACAATACAATAAAGAGAACGAGTTAAACGACTGACTGAAAGTAAATTAAATGGACAATTAGGTACATAGAGTACAAAAGTAACAGAGAGAGAAGGTAGAATTTGAACAGTACCAATTCCTTTGGATCGGGTTTGAGAACCATTGGCAGAAGTTATAGTAGGTAAGAAACTAGAGGTAGAGAGGGAAGAAATTTTTTTTTTATTACCAGTAACATGATCAGACGCACCAGAATCAAGGACCCAAGGTCCAAGAGAAGATGATTGAGAGGAGCAAACATATGAATTACCAGTGTGTGCAACCGAAGCAGTAGAATCTGAGGTCTGATAATTTTGATACCACTTGAGGAAATCATCGTAGTTTGGCGTAAAGTTCTGAGGAGTAGCCATGAGTATCAGATTAGGAAAAATTGCACGGTGGCGGTGGAAAAAACGTCAGGATTGGCCGCATCGAAGGAGACGCTTTTGCCGGAAGGTAGCCAAAATTAGTAGCGGCGGATGGCGGCAGCAGTCCAGTAGTTACTGGAGAATTTTGGAAAGTGAGAGGCAAATCGGAGTGATGACACGGTTTATAAAAAAATAAATAAAAATTTGTCATCGGAAGACAGTGGGTCAACCGGGTAAAGCACGGCGAAGAATTGCCTCTTAGTAGACTCTGATATCATGTTGAATTAGGAGAGACTAAGAGACATTTAGGTTAAACCGTATGTTTTGAAAACACTACTGAGACTTTATTATATATAGAGATTACAACTAATTACATGATATAATCGATGTGGGACTATTCTACATATAAATATTCTGAACACTATATATTTACAAATATCAACATGAGCAAATTAAAACTTTTCTAAGGTATTGTTCATGACCATCAGAATCCAGATAATCCACAAGAATATATTTAATAAAATGAGTTAGTTTTTCAAGTTTGGTTTCTATCTTGGATATATTTAAGTTTTGAAGAACTGACCTGTGGTTTTTAATTTTTTTAATGATTTGGCCAATTTTCAAAAATGTTAGATATATAACTATATCCCTAAACATAGGACCCTTGTTTTCCAAGTTTACCCTTTATAGTATTTATTACTTGCTTATTGGTTACAAGAAAAGATGTAAAATAATAAAAGTTGTTTTTGGTAAAGAATTAATGCAATTAAAAACTTTATAAGGGTATTATAAAAATAGATAAATTTCTCCAGAAGGTTTTATATTTAGAGACAAAGTTAGAAGTTATTTAATTGTTTTTTTATTAAATTGCAACTTACAGATATTTGCAGTGCTTTTAGGAGGAATGTCTGCTCTCAGCTGTTGTGTAACTGTTGAGCAACTTACTCAGTATGTATTATACTGTGAGTGGTTGATTTTTGCCACTTGGAGGGTGACAAGCAGTTTATCATCATTAATGCAGTCCATCGGAGCATCTGAACAAATTTTCGAAATGATGAATCGTTTGCCCTGTGACCAATTCTTAGTCCAAGGCAAGTAATTATTAGAGTTCCTTGCTATTGTATAAGATATGGAATTATTTATTGTTTTAATTGTGCTTCCCACTTTTAACAGGAATTAAGTTGCAGAGGCTAATGGGTCATATTCAGTTTGTTGATGTATCATTTCATTATCCTGCAAGGAGTATGGTATGTATTTTTGTTCTATTAAGTGTTTTTCACTACACTTGTTATAATAAGCACATTTTAAAGTTACTCATTTCTGCTCAAAATGAAAACGTGATTGCCTGTTTGTTGCACTGAATTTTCTATACCCAGTCACTGTTCGTTCTAAATTTGGCAGAAGTACAATACTTTTACCCTTTCAGTTTATATATTTCATCCCTTTTACTATACCATTCAATTTCAAGACTTCGGTGTGTATGTAGCTGATTTAAGTTATCATTAATTTTCCATTGTTCCTGACTTTCGAACAGATGCCTGTTCTAGAACACTTAAACCTCTCTGTAAAAGCAAATGAAGTCATTGCCATTGTAAGACTTGTCCCTTTTACTATACCATTGATGTTGGTGATTCCCAAAGACTAACTCGATATTTCTACCTTGCCAAGGTTGGTCTGAGTGGCAGTGGAAAGAGCACGTTAATAAACCTTTTACTTCGCCTCTATGAGCCTTGTAGTGGTCAGGTAAATCATTTATATCTTTCAATCCTAGTAATTTGAAGTCATGATCTTGATTAGTTATTCTCAGAATTTGGGTTGGGCCTAACTCAACCTTACAAAACCGGCTTGTAAGGTAATGATTGCCCCCACTTATAGAGTCTGACTCGATCCTACAAAACCGGCTTGCAAGGTGAGGATTGCCCCCACTTATAAACACATGTTCAGGCCATATATCATCCGATGTGGGACTCTTAGCACCCCCTCCCACGCCCAGAAATTACGTCTGGAGCGTGAAACTAAATGGTAGGTGGCCCAAAGCATCTTAAATGAAACTCTAATACCATCTTAGAATGTGTGGGTTAGGCCTAACTCGACCCTAAAAATCGGTTTGTAAGGTGAAGATTGCCCCCACTTATAAACACATATTCAAGCCATATATGTCCGATGGGAGACTCTTAACAGTTATTGCTCTAGAAGTTGAAAACTTTTTGTTTATAATATTCCCCATCATTGAGATAATGACTAATAGTCTACTCTAGGTTGTTAGTCTTGGATAGGATGACCGCTATTGTGAAGACTAAAAAACAATGTACATTGTAAAACATAAATTCCAACATGTATAAATACTAAAAATTAACAATATAGTAAAATTTTAATAGTAAACATAAATAACAACAAAATACATATCTCATCAAAATGCGTTCCATCAAAATCAAATTATAAAAGTATTCAAAAATACAAACAATTGTTTTCTTGATATCTTGGAGCTTATGTGTTTATGTACATCATTATTGATGGTAATAATATCTTATTGTCTATAGAATTATTTTCACAGGTATATATTGATGGTTTCCCTCTTAAGGAGTTGGATATTAGGTGGCTGAGGCAGAACATTGGATATGTTGCGCAGGTTAAGTTAGTTACTGAAACAATATTTAATAAATACTTGATTATATTCATTTTCTGATTTTTTTTGTTTCAAATAGGAGCCCCATATCTTTCACATGGACATAAAGTCGAACATAGGGTATGGTTGCCCTAGGAACATAAATCAAGAAGATATTATAAACGCAGCAAAACTGGCTTATGCCCATGACTTTATTTCCTCACTTCCTAATAGCTACGACACCCTTGTTGATGGCAATGTACTTAGTGGTGGACAAAAACAGCGAATTGCCATTGCCAGGGCCATTATCAGGGACCCAGTTGTTATGATTCTAGACGAACCAACCAGTGCCTTGGATTCTGAAAGTGAGCATTACATCAAGGTATATATCTCTCAAATTCTTACCATAATTTTAGTATGTGGTCCCCAACCGTAATTGCAACCACAATATAACGGTTTGAGGTCTTCGCAACTGCAAATGCAATTCATCAGTCACAGTAAGTTGCCCCTTACCATAATGGAAAGTTTTGCAGCATAATTGCAACCACAAATTAAAACCGTGGTTCTGATTTTTCAAAGTTATAATTTCCAATTTTATGTTCGATGTATTTTGCTTATCCAAATAAAACTGTGACATGCAGTTGTTTATGTCTTCTGTACTTATTTTAGGAGGTGTTGTATACATTGAGAAATGAAACTACATCAAGAACCATCATTATCATAGCACATAGGTAAATTCTTAAATATCTCCCTTTTTTTCAGTTTATTTACAAGAAAAGTATCATTGAAAGTACCGTCATTACAGGCTTTCTACCGTAAAAGCTGCTGACCGAATCATCGTTATGGATAATGGTCGCATTATAGAGGTGATTTCCGGTTGAACTTAACTATTTTATCATAATACTTGAGCCCCAAAAATGTGTTTCTTGTGCTTTAGACATGACTATGTTGTGCAATTATATGTTGCAAATTTTTGTTTACAGCTTTATGAGTTAAGTAATAATCTATATATATACCTTAAGAAAGGTAAGCTTTATGACCTTGTTAATGTTAATGCCCTGGTGCTATGCAAAAATTTGACACAACTCATTCAGTTTTTTATTTTTTTTATTTTTATTTTATTTCATTTTATTTTTTTACAGAAGAACAATGCATAAACAATGTGATTTTTGTTTTGCAGATGGGTAACCATGAAGAGCTTCTGGTTAAAGATGGACTCTACGCCAAGTTAAATAAAATTCAAGCAGATGTATTTTAATTTGATTCAATTTGTTTTGACGAGGGCAAGAAATAAACTTGTTAGGAAATTTTTGAGCGAAATTTTTCTCTCCCTGATGATTGAATCAGTGTGAGAGTTGTTGTTTTAATCCGATTGGAAATTTTGAGGGTTTTGATTCCAATTTGGGGCTTTGTTGTTACTGTGATTTGGAGCTCTTTTTTGACTGGCTAGGGTGGATCTGGTTTTCTCATCATGGAAGATCTGGGAGTAATAATTATATCGTCTCCTATAATCTGGGCGATACCGTGAGTAAGTTTTGTCTGGCTATTGTCTCAAGCTTTTAAAGATAGCAATATTATTATCGCTTTTGTTAAGGGTGGAAACATTGATACCATCCTTATTTGGCGATATATTGAGATCTTTATGTTGAAATGCACATTAACAAATGATAGATATGGAGGGATATCAGGAACAATAATCAAAATCATGATAATGGGGTCATAACCGTTGGAAGGATTGAAGGAATCATAATCTTCCGTTTGTGCACAAGCTATGTCTTTAAAGAAGGATTCTATTATCATACAACAAGGATTTCTATGATTGTCTTTAAGGTCATCATCAACAACAATTATTCTGATAATAATTGGCTAATATCCTGTCTCTCAATAACCATTTTAAATAGAAACTTGAAGCAGCTTCTATTTCATCAACTCATGTTTCTTGTCACCAGAAAAATTATTGTTGCCGTGCTGTATTATCTAATTTGCAATACTTCCATGGAGCAGATGATTCTTGATCATAACGGCGGGAATGACTGAATTAACATTGGCCCTGCCAAATTAGCACCTGAAGAACTTCTTGATCTGTGTTTGGTTGGCTTCGTGCTGACTAACAAAATGATCAGATTCAATGCGCTGAAGAATTTCTGTCACAAGAAGTTCAGTTCCAACATCTGTAACGAAGTCAAAGAATGGGGAAATTTCTTGAGGGCGAAATTTGGTACATTCGGTGGCAACTGTAATGCTAACAGGTGGTTGCGCAATGGTCGAAACAAGGAGGGCGGGGGCAGTGGCACCTGAGACAGTAACAGTAACAGTCAAACGATAGGCATTAGTGGAGAATAGGTAACTATCGGGCAGAATTCAAATTCAAAAAGTTTGAATGATGACGCAATTAATGGTATCAATCATGAGCATTTGTTGCATGGGAAGGTGGTTATTGACAGAGATCCATTTTCAAAAAGGCCGGTCTTTGTCAAACTTGCTGACAGGAATTGCGGGTCCTCTAAAAGGTGGGTTGCTTTTAACCTTACTGATAAAGGAGATACTTCGGCTAAGGATGTTTCGAGCAACCCCCGAATGGAACAGTTTCACGAGTTGATATGGAATTGGCTGATTCTTTGGCTAATAAAATGATTGTTAAAAAAAGGGCCCTCCGGGACTAGAATCTGAAAAGGTGTCATCAATTCTTGAAATGATGAAGCTGATTAACACGGATATTGCTATCCCGCCCGTGGAAATTGTGAGGATGTGATGCACTGTCAGTTGGAGCTTTTAATGCACTTGATAACAAGATTTTAATTCCCAATATGAGGGAAATAATTTTGTTCCACCAAGTCAGCTGCTATTAAAAAGTGGGAGTGAGTCAAATATCTCCAATTTCTATGGGCAGCAGGTTAAAAACCATGAATTAGAATTAATAGGTGGAAATAATGTGGAGATCGGCTTGCCACTGTCAGCGAAAGAATTCTTGACTTGGCCAAACTAATTATGGAGGGAGAACCAACTGGAAAAACTGTGGGGACCGAGATTGATGGAAAGAAGACATGCTGTTTTTTCTGCTATCAATAACAATATGGGTCAGGTCCATAGTTAAAGAAGGACCGTCTTCTGCTATCAATAACAATATGGGTCAGGTCCATAGTTATACAAACAGGCAAGTCTCATGTCCCAAAACTCTCGTGATATATTCAAAACTCTCTCTGTTAGCAATACTTTGCCTGAACTGAAAACGGTTAAGGTGCCTCAAGCAACTAACAACAAGAACAAAATAGCTTCTACAAAGGTGTCCACGAAGAACCAAGCCCGTTGCAAGACTCCGTTAAAAGGAAGCAAGTTACCGGAGAAAGAATCTCAACAAGTTAAGGACCCTATCTCAATGAAAAAGAGGATTCACACAAAGGAAGTAAAACCCCCTGAACCGAAGGATCATGTTATGACGAGTAATACTGCAGCCGATACTATGCTGCTGGATTATACTGAAGGAAACATGTGAGCTGCTGGAAATGACATAGCCAACAACACTTTCCCATCTATGATGTCAATGTAACAATGGCGGGCACTGTTCATCAGACCTGCCAAGAAAAATGAATGTATTAAGCTGGAAGTGCCGGGGCCTCGGTAATCGGAGTGTAGTTCTGAATCTTAAGTACCTCATCCGAATGTATAAATTGGATGTTTTATTTTTGTTTGAAACAATAAGTTATTCTAATAAAGTTGAAGGTTTGTGTTATTATTTGGGTTTTGATCGTTGCTTTACGGTTAATCGTATTGGTAGAAGTGACAGTATGAATGTCTTATGGAAAGAATCCAAAACAGTTCTTTTCAAAATTACACTAATAATCACATTGACATGTTGGTTGAAGATATAAGTAATGGCATTTGGAGGCTCACTAGTTTTTACGGATATCCCGAGAGCTATTGCAGGAGGGATTCTTGGAATTTAATTCGTAACCTTGTCGACAGTTCCAATTTACCTGGGTCCATCATTGGAAACATCAATGATATTCTTTCTTCTGATGAAAAAAGGTAGAGTTGACAGGCCAAATTGGTTGATCAATGGTTTTAGGCAAGCTGTCCAAGACGTCAGATTGTTAGATATTTCTATGGAAGGTTATTCATTCACTTGGTTCAAGAGTTTAGGAACTGACAGAGCTGTTGAAGAAAAATTGGACAGAGCTATGGCTAATATCGTCTGGGGTACGCTATTTCCAAATGCAAAACTGGAATGTTTGACTGCTGCCTCGTCTGATCATTACCCCATCCTTCTCTGTTGTGAAAATATTACGGCACATATGATGCGTAAAAGATTCAAGTTCGACGCATGGCTAACTGAACCGGGCTTCAAGGATTTTGTGTGTGGCCAATGGATCAATAATGAACATGAAGACATGATTAATAAGCTGGATGCTTGTGGATAAAAGATGTTGAAATGGAGTAAAGACCACTGGTGTAAGGTTAGAAAGGAAATTGATAGTATTTGCAAGCAGATTGATACAAGCAGACATCATATTGTAAAAGGCAAAATTAATTATTTCTCAGCTCTTAAAAGATTTTTGAGCTCTTAAAAGATTTTTGAGCTCTATCTTAGTTAAAGATGACTTATTCTGGAAGCAATGAGCAAAAACCCAATGGTATAAGGATGGTGATCTAAATACATGTTTCTTTCATATTACAGCTACAGTAACGAAGAAAATAAACACTATTAAATCTTTCACAAAGGACAATGGGGACGTTACTAGTTCCATTGAAGGGATGTGTCAAGTGGCTTATGATTATTTTATTGAATTATTTCAAAAGAAGCCAAGCTCTCGTAATCAGGTTTTATAAGCTATTGAAAATTCCATTTCAGATAAAGATAATGCTATGTTGACTGCTATTTTCACTATTGAGGAATTTAAAGATGATATTTTCTCCATGAAAGCTGATAAGATTCCTGAATCTGACGGGTAGAATATTGGTTTTTATCATCAATTATGGGATACATGTGGCACTGAAAATTTCGATGTTGGTTGCTCTTGGCTTGAAATTGGTACTTTCCCTCAAAGCCTTAATATGACTAATATCACTCTTATTCCAAAAGGTGAAACTCCTTTGTAGTGTGCTATATAAAGTGTTAGCGAAAGTCCTTGCTAATTGGCTTAAGAGAATTCTAGGAAAGTGTATTTCAAATAATCAACCAGTTTTTGTTCCCAAAAGATCTACTTTGGATAATGTTATTGTTGTCATTGAAGTGGTTCATCATATGAAGACTAAAACCAGAGGTAAAGTCTGACATAACTCATAAACTTGATATCAGTAAAGCTTATGATAGGATAGATTGAGATTATCTGAAGGATATCCTCACCACTACGGGGTTTGGTTAGAAATGGATTGGGTGGATTACGCTTTGTGTTGGAACTATGGAGTACTATGTGGTTATGAGTGGTAACATGGTTGGACCGATAGTTCTGGGGCGCGGGTTGAGACATGGTGATCTTTTATCTCCGTACTTATTTATTCTTTGTGCAGAAGGTCTTGCTGCATTTATTAGGCAAGCTGAAGCTAGAGGAGACATACACAACATAAAAATTTGTAGGAATGCTCCTATTATATCTCACCTACTGTTTTCCAATGAATGTTTTCTTTTTTTCAGAGCAAATCCTAATGAAACAAATGTGATGAAAAATATTCTTATCACTTATGAAGAAGAGTTGGGACAAGCTATCAACCTCCAAAAATCCGAGTTCTATTGTAGCAGGAATATTGAATCTGACACTAAGAATTTGTTGGCTACTTCTTTAGATGTTAAACAAGTGTTGAGTATTAGTAATTATCTTGGTGTTCCCTCTATGGTCGACAAAAGTAGAAGAGTCGCTTTCAAGTTTGTTAAAGTTAGAATTTGGAAGAAAATTATTTTCTTGAACAGTGTCTGTCTTAAGTAGGGAGGGAAATTATGATTAAATATGTTCTTCAATCTATCCGGACTTATATTATGAGTTTATTTCTACTTCATTCCTCCTTAAGTGATGAGATTGAGAAGATGATGAATTATTTATGGTGGGTCATAAAAGAGACAAAGCGAAAGGTATGCAATGGTTGTCCTGGGATCGTTTGTCTATGCCAAAGAGTGTAGGAGGCATGGGTTTTAAAAATTTCAACGCTTTCAACTATGCAATGCTCAGCAAACAAGCTTGGAGGTTTATGATCAATTCCGATAATCTTGTTTCTCGTCTCTACAAAGCCAAGTATTTTCCTACTTATGGTTTTCTAGATTATACTATTGGACATAATCTCAGCTATGTGTCGCGAAGTATCTGGAACTCTAAATTTGTGGTGTGAGGAGGCCATAAATGGAGTATAGGGTCAAGAGAGAACATTTCAGTATAGGATCATAAATGACTATATGATGATACTTCTTTGGATAACCCTTGGCCAAACAACTCAGTTGTGGAAAATCTCAAAATCTCATATTTGATGATTCCTAATGGTAAACAATGGAATCACGTCTTGATCTCTTTTAGCGTTGGTGGAGATGTTGCACAAAAGGTTCTGAATACTCCTTTATTTGAAGTGGTTCAGGTTGACAAGTTACATTAGAAGCATGAAATAAACGACATGTTCCCGCTCTGTAGTTCTTACTGATACTGTATTAATGAACCCATTGATACCCTCTTATCTTAGGATTAGTTAGAGATGGAACTTGATATGGAATATCAAGAACCCCCCCCCCCCCCCCCCCCCCCCCCCCAATGATTAAGAATTTTCTGTGGCGTATGTGTAGGAATGGTGTGCCTAATAGGAGACTTTTAGGTAAAGGGATTAATTGTCCATGTGTCGGTTGTAGGGATGCTGAAGAAAATTATTATCATCTATTTCTTTAGTGCCCGAAGAGTATTGAGTGTTTGGGAAAAGTGGGTCTTTGGCCTATGTTGCAACATTTCAGTGATAATGAATGGTCGTTTGCTTTTCTGATTTCTTCTTTCTTACGGGTTTCTAATCAAGATCAACATGAGATTTTCTCAGCTTTTTTATGGAGCATTTGGAAAGGGATAAATAATCACATCTAGAATCTCGTTGAAGAACCGTCAGCCCTTATTTGTCATCGAGCCTCACAACTTTTGGCGGGATAGAGAGATGCCCAACAGTATCGTTCTAACAATGCAAATATCAATTGACAGTTATTACCAAGTGGAGTAAACTGTCAGTGGGTCGCCTAAAGGGCAACATTGATGCGTCATTCTCTCATAATAAGGTAGATATAAGTGCATGTATTAGAGACGACGCAAGACGCTTTGTTGCAGCCCGTACATAATGGTTTTCGCCTTGCACTGAATTTGTTATTGGAGAAGCTCTAAGCCTTTTGACATCTATTAATATGGTTCATAATCTAGGGGGTATGATAACAAGGACTTCGAACTAGATGCGAAAAATGTTGTGGATAGTGTGAATACTCTGAAACAAATGGTTCAAATTTTGGTGCTATTGTTGGAGAATGTAATCGATTGATGACTCTATTCTTTAGGAATCCTCATGTTAAGTTCGTTAGAAAACAAGCCAATGAAGTTGCTCATTCTTTGGCACGGGTGTCTCCATCTTTTGCTAGTTTTTACAATTTTATTGATATACCAACATGTATTCAAAATATTATTATCAATGATATGAATTAAGCTTTTCCCGTAAAAAAAAAGAAATCTCTATTGCTAATTACAACAGAAATTAATGATATCATGAAAGAAGTTTGACTTGAATGACATTGACAATTTAACATCTAAAAGTTCAGTTAAAGGATTGGAATTCTAGATGTTTTGTAATAGCAAGAAAAGCCACTATCTTGATTTCCCATATTTCCTAGGTCGTGGCTTTTTAAACCACTCCCACTAACTCTTCTAACTTCGTGGAGCTAAAAAGCAACATTTTCCACACAAAAATTGTCACTTGTTCGCCATTATCATCATGACTGCTGGCTATAAATGGCCTTCCTCAATCTGAACCTCTTCACAATTTTCTCCATTTCTACAACTTTCCAAAACCACAAACTCTTTCACTTTTATTCTCCATTTCACCAACACTATATCAGCTTCCACGATAAATGTGAACACTGACAATAATCCATTAGCGTTTAACCTCATAGAAGAGGAAGGGCTCACGGTTATCCCTCAATCGCCATCTATTGAGAAACCTAAGGTTGAGAAATGGCAGCACCATATGCTAATACCCTTTGTTGTTACTGATAAAATCTTTTCCTTTCATGGGCCATATCCAGATTCCAAATCACATCCAAAAAAAGGTTCAACATTACTTCCCTTGTTTCCTTCCTGCTACGCCGTCTGCTTTCGACAAATGCCCCTTCGTTCTGAAGTTCATGGACCCAAATGTTATGGTTTTTTTGATCAATGCCTACTCCGGGAAACAAAGATTATTTAACATGGCTCAACAAAGTGCAGGAAAAACGACAAGCATAGTGGGATAAAATTGGTATTTTCGACGCCATTCAACTATCTAGGAATGATCATGAGATCAACCCCTGTATGATCCTTTATCCGATCTTCTTCTGGGAAGGTTCGACAAACACCTTCCAACTCCCTTGTGGGATGATAATGATGACTCTATTCGACGTGGGGGCCATTACTGGTCTTTCGCCTTTGGGAAAAACTTTCGACCCAACTTTATCAACTAAGCTTCAATCTGATTTAGCCCGCGATAGCCTTAAACATTATATAACTGATCACCATGTCAAAGGCACTAAAGAAGTTTCTGACATGTAGCATATTGCCATCTTAACATGTTGCCTTTCTTATTTACTTGTTTTGTCCAAGATCTCCGCAAATAGCCATAGGCTATATCAACTTGGCAATCCAAATTTATGAGGGTTGGAAAATTTCTTTGCGCAACCTGTTGTTGGCATCCCTATACTAATCTTTGGGTATCACTTCTTTGAAGGTAAAATTTCTTCATGACACCACTAAAGCACTTCTTCTTTCAGGCCCTTTATGGTTATTACAATATGGTTAAATGTCACCTTTGAGTAACGTGTGGGTCATCCTATAACAGAAGTGATTACGCGTGCATATAAAAATTAGTCTGTCCAAGGTATAAGACTTGCCTTGACTACTTCCAATGAAAACCCAACTGAATCCACCTTTATGATATACATCAATTTATTACTTGAGACTACTACCTTCGTTTCGACCATGGCTCCTTCTGCGGATCGAAGCATTGGCCTGTTTAGTTTAAGAACCCTTTTTCAGGCGTCACTCCACCTCCTGCTGCTCAGTCGAATGCTGAGAGCATTTTTAACTCCCACTCTTCTATCATTTCAAATTGACCCAGGAGTGAAGGGTTATGTCTTTATGAGTTATCAACCTAATTTGGTCTTAGCCAAATATTGCCAAAATATTTATATTCCTGGCATACCGACATATGTTGGGCTGGGCGAAAC